TCTTTCGCGTCTCTCGCTCTCTCTCTCTCTTTTCTCTCTCTCTTTCGCTCTCTCTGTCTTTCGCTCTCTCCCTCTCTTTCGCTCTCTCTGTCTTTCGCTCTTTCTTTTCTCTCTCGCTCTTTTTCTTTTCTCTCTCGCTCTTTCTTTTCTTTCTCGCTCTCTTTTTTCTCTCTCGCTCTCTTTCTCTTTTTTCTATCTCTCTCTATTTCCTCTCTCTCCCTTCCTCATAGAAATACTAATCCACTAATGTATCTACGGGTCTTTGTTGTCCCATTAGACGAACAGCAGCAGACATCCCCATTCACCTCATTTTTTCCACATAATCACTTTTAAATAGTGTTGAATATGTAGTCAAGTCGAAGTTTATGTGAAGTTCTACGACCACTGGAACTTCTACTAATTATTTATACCAGTGCCCCGTGTGATTGGGTTCATTCCAAAGCTTCAGCTGTTTCACAGAGCCACATCTTTTCACATTGAAGTTGAGGCCTTCTCACAGATCACTCTGGTTTACTAAAAAAGAATGACAGAGCAACATACCCTTTCGTTCACTCAAACAAATGGTAATTGATAATAGCCGAAAAAGCCGACAGCCTACTCAGTCAATGACATTGTAATTTTTGGGAAATGACACATGGCACAACTATCTGACGAACAGAAAATATTTTGACTACGAATACAGTCATAATAATAGCACAAAACGCTTCTTATATCAATATTTTTGAACAGGATGATACAACATTTCGAAGTCCCAATACATGAATCACAAAGTGAATCATATCAAATAATAGAGGTTTTGTAGTGGTGTCTCAGCTGACATGATCCTCACATAGTACCCAGGTGAGGTGTAAGTGTACGTTTTGTAATAATAACACCGTGCAGAGTGAGTATGCCTTTCAGACTATTATAAGGAACGCGTCAGTCATCAAACAATTTGAAGCAGACATTATGCAGAATAACACATTCCTAGAACCACCGCATATGAAATAAATGGAGACTGGAGAGACATTTTAGAGAAGGTCGAGCTTTTTTTTTAAATGAATAGGCTAAGGACTTCTAAGTCATGCTTGTAGAAGCCACTCGACAATCACCAGCATACCAGACACATGTAAGCAACATATCTGTCCTTCGACATTTGGACAGAGGTCTCGTTATCCTTAGGAAAGTGAAGAGTATACCTATGAACATAAATTTATATCACGTCTCTAACCAAAGGGAAATATACCAATTTCATGGCCTCAGCTGATGTGCTGGCTCCCAACGTTGCAGTGATTTTCATGGCTGACGCTCCCTGTCTTGCAGGGACTGAAAATATGTCGAGGGTCGTGATATCAAGAGGTCTCCCCCCCCCACCCACCCGTTCCTCGATCCTGTTGAAAGATGCTTCTCGGCATTGAAAGCCAACGTAAAAAAAAAGAATAAAATCGAAATGCACATGAACCTTGCATGCACACACAGATTTTGCAGCGTGATCAACTCTGCAGTTTCCATCATTGAAGCTGCTTCGTGTTCACTGAACTGCTGACATTTCTGACCGACGGTGGTGTTGGAAATTGGTGGTGCTAGTGACGGTGACTATATGATGTGGACATTATCCCAAGTGTACGCAGTTATGCATCTGTATGTATATCTGCATAAGTTTGCGGCAAGTCTAATTAAGGGTTAGATTTGTCTCATCTAATCATGACTATATACATTTTGTTCATATATATATCCATTGCCAGTGAATATTTATTTTGTTATGTGTCAAATAAATGTTTGAGACCGCTTGAAACCATCCACATGCCAATCTATTTTGTTACCCTGTCAAACACTTTTTGCGGTGTCAACTGGATATGGAGAAATGTCAAATGACAAATTGACAAAAAAATATGTGGATTGACAGTTTTGGATGAAACGTCTGATCTCTTGTGTGAAAAAGTGGATTATATCGATATCCGTCTCTTTATCCATCAATTCGTCTATCCATTGTCTGTCTGTCTCCCCACTCTCTCTCTAAACACAAAAATGTGTGTAACTTATGTACCACACACACACATACATATATATGTATGCGTGTGGGGGTATTTCTGTATATACATACATATATACATATATACATACATATATATATATATATATAATATATATATATATATAATATATATATATATATATATATATAAATATATATATATATATATATTATATATAATATATATATGTGCATATATATAAATAAATAAATAATATAAATAAATAATTATATATATATATTATGTGTGTGTGTGTGTGTGTGTGTGTGTGTGTGTGTGTGTGTGTGTGTGTGTGTGTGTGTGTGTGTGTGTGTTTGCGTGTGTGTTGTGTGTGTTGTGTTGTGTGTGTTATATACATGCATATATATATATATATATATATATATTATATATATATATATATATATATCATATATAATATTATATATAATATAATATAAATGATATTGTATATGTATGTATCGTATGTGTGTGTGTGCCTTTAG